TATCTCTGTGAGTTCGAGGCCAGCCTGGGCTACCAAGTGAGTTCCAGGAAAGGCGCAAAGCTACACAGAGAAACCCTGTCTCGAAAAAAAAAAAATATGAACAAATGGATTAAAACAATATACTTAGAGGAAAAGAATGCAGTGAAAGTGGAACAGGGGGACACAAAGGATGTGAAACAGGAAACAAAGACAACGCATAGATGTAAGGGAGTCCCAGTGAGCACGGGCAGAGACCATCTGAAGCAGGTGTGAGCCGTCTGTCCTGTCTGGAGGAGACACCCCCACCCCCACACACAAAAGACCTCGTCATGCAGACGACAGACTGGGGCCTCACACACAGACAAGCCTAATGCCTAGAGAAAGCTCAGGTCTCTAGTAATAGCTTCCTGAGTTGAACACACACACACACACACACACACACACACACACACACACACACACACACACAGAGAGAGAGAGAGAGAGAGGGAGGGAGAGAGAGAACTTTGGACACATAGCCCATCCTGGTTCACCTCCCTAGGTTGTTAGAGTCTACAGTTGCCTGGCACAGTGGCACTCACTGTTAAGCCCATCACTCAGGAGGCAGAGTCAGGTGTCTAGTAATAGCTTTCTGAGTTGAAAACACACACACACACACACACACACACACACACACACACACACACACACACACACACGGCTATCCTACAAACAAACAAAACAGATTCTACTGGGTTTAAGCCTATGATTTTATTTTATGGTTCTTGTCTGGTACATTGTTTTTCTTTCTTTTGGATTGATGATCAGGTTTTGGTTTGTTTCTTGTTTTTCTCAGTGCATTAAAAAAGTTTCATTGTATTTTATTCCTCTCTCTTGTAGTTTGTTGTGTTTCTGTGTTTGTAGTGATTACCTCAGAAACTTAAGCTTTCATCTCTAAGTCCTATCAAAATCTAAACTTGGGCTCAACTCCCACGGTTAGAGCTCTCCATCCTTCTCCACTTCCTCCTCCCAACCTTCGGGAACTCTGCCAGGGGCTGCCACCTGAGTGCCAAACCATGGCCGAATACTCCTATGTAAAGTCCACCAAACTCGTGGTCAAGGGCACCAAGGCCAAGAGTAAAAAGGAAGAGGGCAAAGATAAGAAGAGAAAACAAGAAGAGGATGCAGAAATTCAACTTGATATTGTGGGAATCTGGTAGACTGTATCCAACCAACTTCAGGAGATTTCAGGAGCCGTAGGCATTGAAATGGATAAAGGAGCCCGTACCACGCACTGGACAATGGTCTTTTTACACTGGGAGCTCCATGTAGAGAAGTGGATGAGGGGCCCCATCCCCCCGAGGGTCGAATGCTGTCGAATTGTCTGATTCCAGAATTGCCCTGAAATCTGGCTGTGGAAAAATATCTTGGTATAGATTCAGGTGAACTTGTTGTTGGCATTTGGGTGCAATTGGGCCAAGAGCACAAAGGGAACCAGTGTTTCTAGATGGAAAAATGGCTTTACTGGTCTCAAATAGCTGCTTTATTAGACGCGATGAAGCAGACAATAGAGAAGCCAAGAATAAAACAGCAGCAGAAGAAAAAAGAATTAAGATTAGATCCAAAGAGAAGCCAAGAGAAAAGATGGCATCCCAGAAGACAAAGGGAATTTGAAGCAGTGCGAACTCCACTATGTGACGAAATTTCAGAGCTTCTAAACCACAAACTCAAAATAAGCAAAGAAGATAGTAAACTACTTCCTCTTCTTCTTCTTCTTCTTCTTCTTCTTCTTCTTCTTCTTCTTCTTCTTCTTCTTCTTCTTCTTCTTCTTCTTCTTCTTCTTTGGTTTTTTTTCGGGACAGTTTCTCTGCATAGTTTTGGTGCCTGTCCTGGATCTCGCTCTGTAGACCAGGCTGGCCTCGAACTCACAGAGAACCGCCTGGCTCTGCCTCCCGAATGCCGGGATTAAAGGCGTGGGCCACTGCCACCCGGCAGTAAACTTCTTTAGAAGGCTTGGAAAGATGGATTTTTGCAGGAGACACTTCTGGGCAGGAGAGCCAAATTGAAAGCTGACCAATACTGCAAGTGACGCCGATGTCTTTGTGTGGCTCTGTTTTTTGTTTTTTTTTTTGTCCTGAATAAAAATATCAGTATAAAATTAAAAAAAAAAAAATCTAAACTCATGGCTAGAGATGGAGCACAGATGGTAGAAAGTTTACTTGGCCTGCAGAAACCCTGGGGTGGATCCTCAGCACCACATAAACTGGCATGGTGGACCACACCTGTAATCCCAGCACTCAGGAGGATTGCAAGTTCAAGGTCAGCCTCAGCTACAGGATAAGTCTAAGGCCAACCGGGGCTACATGACATTCTGTCTAAAAAACAAACAAACAAACAAACAAACTCTGGTCTGGAGAGGTGTTTCAGTGGTTAGAAGCACTTGCTGCTCTTCCGGAGAAGCTGGGTTCAGTTCCCAGCACCCTTATGGGGCTTCTCACAACTGTCTGTAACTCTAGCAACAGGGCATCTAACACTCTCTTCTGGATTCTGTAGGCAGGGCACGCATGTGGTGTATACTCACACAGGTACACAGAATAAATAAAATAAAAACAAAATATTTTTTTCCTGTTTTTATGAGACAAGATCTCACTGTGTAGTCCTGGCTGCTGTGGAACTCTCTATGAAGGCCAGGCTTGCCTCAAATGCACAAATGTGTCTCCTAGTACTGGGATGAAAGGCATGTGCTAGCACACTGGGCCCTAAATGGAGCTTAAAAAGCAAAAGAAAACTTAAGTTTACTCAAGAATCATCTATCCTGCAACACAGAAAGTTTTCACAATATCTTACCCACATTTACCTCCTCACAACTTCTATACTGACATTTATTTCAAGTAAACCTTAAACCCATATCCTTATTATTATTTTATAAAGTCCTCGTGTTCTTACTTTTCATCCTTCCCATCTAGGCTCACATTGCTGATGAATCATTTAGTATTTCCTATAATGAGGTCTGCTGATGACAAATTCTGAGGTTCTCTTTCCTTTAGTAATCTGAACATCTTTTGCCGTCATCTCTCGCCTCCTAACGAAAATGTATTTTATTTTTATATATAATATACTGATACAGAAAATAAAATAATCCCAATTCCAAAGAGCTTTGTCAAGTGTGGTTTACTTGACCCCAAAGACTATAGCCAGGTAGAAAACAACAGGCACTCTGGTGATACTGGGGCCCCCACTGACCAGCCCAGTCTCCTACCAGATCATTGTGGCTCTCCTTTGTATTAAAATCTTCAGCAGCAAAAAATAATGTTTTCAAGGGCAGAGATGAGGGATTACCCCTGAAAGGGAGTGGGGGATTCTTTTTCTGTTGCAAGCACACGTGTGCTGTTACAAATTACATCATGTTTGGGAACCTGTGTTTAGCAAAGTTCATTCTGAGGAGGTGATCTGCATCTTACAATCTAACACTTTAGTTATGTATCGTGGACCTGTGCTGTGCTTCAGGGTCTCAGATGACCACAATTCTACCCAAATGGCTCTAACACCCATAGGCTCACCATGTCCCACTGCAGCTCCAGGTAGAGATGAAGTGACTATGTACAATGACTGTGAGGAACATCTTTCAGGCACAAGAGCTCACATGAAACAAACATTTAGCATAAAAGTGTTTCAAAAATGACGGAGAAGTGTTGAATGGCAGCATTATGTCACTTCACGTGACATAATGTCTCTCCTAATAGCTATCGGACCAATGGCAATGTGGTGGAGATTCCTATTTTATTTCCTGTTTGTTCATATGCAAACACAGTTTCAATGGCTAATGAGATGGAGCTGGTGGGATGGTGCATGAGGAAAGGCACTTGCTCCAAACCTGACCACCCAAGTCCTGTCCCCAGAACCCACACAGCAGAAGGAGGGAACCAATTACTCTGATCACCACACCTCTATGTACACAACTCCTCAATATGTGTACCATGGCATGTGCATGTGCATGCACATCTGTATAGACACACACACACACACACACACACACACACACACACACACACACACTATGACACTATGGGTACATAAATAAATGCAATTTTAAAAGTTTTAAATTAGCTAATAAATACATAAATAAGCAACAGTCAGAGCTTTTAAAATCGTAAGAACAAGGTTATTAATTGAGTCATGATTATATAGTATGAACATTGTTACTTGCTGGCAAATTTTTGTCAGGACTAGATTTCCCCAAAGATTTTAATAAATGGTTGGGAAAAGGGAAAGATAACAAAAAAGCTTGTAGTTTGAAAATGAAGTTTCACTACAAGAAACAAAGTTGTATGTAATGGGGAAGTAGAGAACGATAAGTCAAAAATGACCAGTGGGTTTTTTTTTTTTTTTTTCTAATCTGAGCAAATGGCTGGTATTGTGCACCCAGGTGAAAAGCCCAGGGAGAGGGGACAGAACATGGACACTGTTGGGAGATGGTGGCTTGGAGATACTTATGAGACACTGAGGAGCTGAGAGGTAACTGGATATTCCATCTGATGGTATGAAAAGGAACCAGAGTTCAAGAGAGAAATCTGAGATTGTCACATGCATGGTCCTGAATACCTTGGAAACAGAGACACACTTAGGATGATGTAAGACAAGAAAGAGAAGGGAGCCCAGGGGAGGAAACTGAATGGCGGATAGAGTGGAGGCAGTGAGCCCTGGAGGCTGACACATGTTCTCAGAACTCCGATTGGGCCCACCTCCCCATTCTGTGTGTTCATTCTACCACACAGGCTTTATCATTTTCTCTATACACAGCTACTGTTTTCAGAGCATTGAAATTAAGATATGATGCCATCTTAGCCCACAATATAGGTCTTATAAGACCCAGTGCATTTTCTTAGTCTCATCAGGCAGTGGACAGAAACCCGATACCATGCAATACAACACAGACCATATTCACATTTTCCCAATCCACTTACCCTAACCATGTCTTTGATAGCAAGAAACACCCAGCTGCTATATTTCTCTGGTTGGAGACTTTAGGACTGACAGGGTAGCGCTTGCTTCTTGAATGTTCTCTTGCTCCGAGGAGTTCTGCCAAGGTAGAATGATAAATAATAAATGAAGATGTAAGGTCCTTGGAGACTAAAGAGTTGTGAGTCACTGAACAAAACTAACCTATGCTTGGTGGAAGAGCATGGGGTGTGGGAGAAGTCTGTTCTCTGAGTTAGGAAGTTTCTGCAGTGACAGCAGGAGCCAATGGAGAAGCAGTGGGTACCAGTGGGACAGACAGGAAGTACCAGGAGCAGGAAGCTGGGGGCTGGGGGTCGGAGGAAGACCACAGGACATCAGGAATCAAAGGAGAGGCCGTCTCATAGGCATTACTTCAAGGAGAGACAGTCTCAATATCTACCAGCTCGGGGAGGTGACTGTAACTAACCTCAAGGTCTCTCCACTGGTCCCCACTCTACCTATTTCTGTCAGAGACACAGACAAGGTGGCCAGAAAGCAATTGCAACCCTCTCCTAATACCTCTTGCCATGACAAACCCACTGGCCTATGCTGGAGCTCTGTGCAGTTCTGGATGCCTGGGGGAATCAAGATATGGACTGGATATCAATGATGTCAAGGACTTGTTAATGTTGTCACATGTGACAATGGCATACAGAAACTTTTTTTGAGATTTTTATTTCTAATTTATGTGCATGAGTATTTGCTTGAATGTATTTCTATACACCACGTACAGTACCTGTGGAAGCCAGAAGAGGGTATAGGATCCCCTGAGACTGAAGTTACAGTCTTACATTGTGAACCTCCATGTGGATGCTGGAAATCAAACTCAGGCTCCTTGTAAGAACAGTGGGTGCTCTTAATGGCTGAGTCATCTGTCCAGCACTCCATCGGTTTAGGCGATTCTCTCTTGGTAACTGGGGCTTTGGAACAGTGAAGGAAAAGTGGAGGAGGAGAAAGATAGCATCTTAGAGACGGAGTGAATGAAAATCGCCCATTCCAGATCCTGCAGGGACAGACAGCCATGAGAACCACTGCTTAAGCGTACAGCAAACCTGCCCAACAGTCCTTCTTCTGAGACCCTCGGCCCATCTTGTAAACTGTGACCTGGAAAACTCATATGTAGTGGGTAGCCATTCCAGCTTGGATCTGGAAGTTCCAACCCCCATTAAGACTGGCAACTGTCACGCCTACAAGGCGGGGCCAGGGGAGGCGCCTGGAGACCCAAGAGCTGGATGGGCCAGCGCTCTCTCTGTGCGCTCTCTCTGTGCCAGGACCCTGAATGGTGGAGATCGACTGAGCAGAGCTCCACTGAACACCACTGGATTGCGATACACCTTCCCCAGACCCTGCGACCTACCTTTCCCTTAATTTGTGAGTTACGCCATTAAATAAATATCCTTTTAACTACGTGGAGGGGCCTTAATAATTTCACCAATACTCATATCCTTGGGTCCTTGTCACTTGGAGTCCACTAAAGTCCTTTGTTACTTTATTCTCTAGTCTGTGCTGGTGATCCACATACAGCATGAGCCTCAAAGGAAGTCCCTTGTCCAAACAGGACTTCCAGATAAGATGTCCGATTAGAAACCTCATTGACGAGACTTGGTGAAAAAAAACTGAGGACAGTAGACACAGCCTCTGTCCCTGCAAGAGACAGCTGTAGTGTACAGGAACTTAGCAGGCCCGGTGACATCTCTGTGGGGAAGCAGGCAGGAGCTTCTGGGAACTCCATCAGGTTCAGTCTCAACAAGTGTCTCCAGCAAGGTCAGTGCTTTTCCATACACTAGTGCTGTAGGACGGTTGGACAGCCGAGGACTGGATACACAATGGGCGGTGACATCCAAGAGCTGAAGACTTGGAAGCAGAGCATGGTAGGTATGCCTGACGTCACCTTCTCACCCCCCCACCCCACATACACTGACACCGTGGAACATCCAATGGAAGAGCTGCGGCAAAGCCTGGGTCTGGCTAGTCCAACGGTCTCTACACCTCCGTGGTCAGAGAGCAAGAGGGTGAAGAGTGGAACTGGGAGATGAGAGCAGCCTTAGTGGAGACCACCGCAAGGGCTTCCTCCACCTCCTCCCCAGTGCTGTTACATGGCATTCCGTCACCCAAATACATACAAACACAGAAATGAAAATAAAATCTTAATTTTTTTTTTTTTTTAAAAAAGGTCGTATTCACGGCGTCTGGGGTGAAGGTTGACAGGAGCATGTAACTTGGGGTCTTACTACAAACCCGTGTTGGCTGCAGCAGCTGACTCTCACCTCTTCTTCAGCTCCTGATTTGCCGCCTGCTGCTGCTGCTGCTGCTGCTGCTGCTGCTGCTGCTGCTGCTGCTGCTGCTGCTGCTGGGAGCAGCCTTAGTTCAGGGACCTCAGGCCTGTCACCTCAACATTCTATCACAGCCCCTCCCAAGAGGCCTCTTGAAACGTTAGGCAAGAGCAGCCATGACGGCCCCACTGACCTGTCACAGTTCTTTGGGTGAGGCATAGAGACTGTCAATCCCGGAGGACTCCTGGCTGCGCCACACTGCCATTTTAAACAGCTTTTTAAGTCTCCCACGCGGTTTGAATTGTAATTCACTCGTCAGTGCAGGAGAGCGTGGCGAGCGTCCCTGACAAGCTCACACCACCTGCAACAGTCTCCCCCCCATCATCTTGACAGCAGTGAGCTGTTACAATTCAGACAACACTCTGCCTTTGAAAGGAAAATTACGGTTTTTCAGAATGCAGCTGGTGCGTGAGTGAATAGGATGAAGTCTCTCTGAAGCATCCCCCCTCATTTTATGATATGAAAATAATAAAATGAAGACTCAGCATGTGACTCTTACTTAAAAGGATGTCCAAAAGCCGCAGTGCACAAAGGCGAATGGAGCGTTCCGGTCCGCAGTAATAATCTTAATAACAAAGCAAAGAAGAGCAAATCATTTCAAACTGATTTCTCCTCTATTGAGAGAGTTAACTTTGTTGTTGCTGTAAGACCCGCTTGCAAATGAGCTCTTTAATGTCCCAGCTAACATCTGCTCTTCCCTTACAGCACACTTTCAGTTTGCCAGTTATGTGAGGGAAACCCGCAGTGGACTCTCCCCGAGGGAACTTAGCCGAAGTGTTTCCCACAGGGGAGACTGTGTCTCACAAATCACTCCAAAACTTCCCAAGCAAAGGAAACAGATTTTCCCCCACGTATGAAAAACACAGAAGGTAGACAGAATCAGCAGAAAGGCAGTGTTGTCAAGTAGTGTGCCTGACTTCACGTCACTTACAAAGGTTTCACCAGGTCACTGGCTTCCACGAAAGCCTTCAGTCCTTTCTTGTGGGCCAGGATTAGCCAGCTCTGGCATATCACCGCTCGCTGGGGACCTCCAGGTAAGACTAAACACACTAGGCACCTGCCTAATCTTGCCTTCACAAAAAACCTAATCAGTTCTCCAGTCACCCAGGGTCTCTCTTTCTCCCTTTATGAGATACCAGCATTCCTTCTATAGAGGAGATTCTGGGAGTCCCCCTGAGGACCAGTCCAAAGCAGAAGCATCTTAGCTTGCTCTATTGGTTGGTTCCATCGGACCCCAGGGCTGTCATCCCCGCCAAGACCAGATGGTGCTATTGTATCATCAGCTTTCTCTGCATAGCCCCCGCCCCCGCCCCCACTTCCACACTCCCCGCACCCTCTGTGTGACAGGTTTAATGCAACTCCCTGGCACCTCCTCTGTCCATGTGATGCAAAGCCAGCAAATCTAAGACCGAAGAGCCAAGAAAACCAGGTGCTAAATCATGCAAGGTCAGGCATCCCGGCAGCTTCCAGTCTCCCGTGTCCCAGGCAGCCTTTCCACCAGGAGTTTTCTAAGCCAGATACATTCCTGTGGCTTGCACGGCTGTACCACACAGTCTCCAGGATAGATGGAGCCTTCCAGACATTAAGCCTGAACCACAGTCTGCTCCAGCAGTCGTCAGCCCTGCCCCCACCCCACCCCAATCTCTTTCTCCCAGCTGTAAGCTGCTGTATGTCAGCTTCTATCCCTTGGCACTCAGCCACGCTCCTGGGAAGACACTGCTTCTGATTGCTCACAGTGGGGGAAACGAGAGCAAGGTACCCAAAGAAAGCCAGGCCTGTGGCAAACTGTTTCACATTCAAGACTGTGTTTATTGATCACATTTATAGCTGACAGAAGATTTGGGAAGATGTGGTGGCTGTGTTTAGGGCCACGCAAGGTTATCTGGTTTGAACCAGATCTGACTCAACCTGGCACCATTCACTTTAGTCCATGTCATCGTCCACAGGTGTACCCAAGAGCTAGAAGTGCGAACGGTGGCGGTGGTGTTAGCCAAGTCAGCGTGGTGAGAATGAAGTGTGCCACCTTCCGAGATGGCATTCAGCTTCCCCTGGGGGAGGGAGCTGACGCGTTGAAGAAAATCCCTTTGAAAGCCACCACAGGTTAAGGTAAAAGAAAGAATGGCTGCAGCCAGGGGCATTTGACGTGTTCCAGGGAGTGGAGACAGATACCACATGGAAGACAGGTAAATGGAGATTCCCCTGCGCTCTGTGAGATGTCCTGTGTGTGACTCCGCCTGTATTGCTGCAGTCTCTGAAGTCCCCTCACACACCACACACACATGCATGGGCACACACACATGCATGGGCACACACACATGCATGGGCACACACACATGCATGGGCACACACACATGCATGGGCACACACACATGCATGCGCACATACGCTCCATTAAATGTTGCTGTGTGTAGAAATGGAGGAGGGAAGGAAACTATACCTTCATGGATACAGGGTGAAGACAAGACAAGACCGTTGCTTAAAATGAGGTAGCAGGAGCTTGGGGCCAGCAGGTGCTGCCGGAACACCTTTAGAAACCTTTAGAGTTTCTAAACTTTTTAGAGTCCTTTAGAAACCACAGAAACTCAGTTACCAGACCCACCTGGTTGTCCAAGGATAGCTACCCGCTGACACTGGGCTCCATCGAGAAGACTCTCTACCGAGTGTCTGATTGTAAAGGTGTCACAAACAGAGGTGGGCAGGCACTTTTGACATCATTGCTGTCTGCAATTGGAGCATGTGTCACAGGATTCCCCTCAGCTGAGCCTAACCCTTGATCTCCAGGACTTTCGCCATGAGACATCAGGCAAGTTGGGACACAGGGGGCCCTTAGTCAGCTTGGCCTGAACCTTCCCCTCACATCCCATCACCAAGTGCGGGGTGGGGCACCACACTCTCCACTAGTCTAGGAAGGGCCCAGATTCACACTCTGCAAACCTCACTCATGCCCACCTACACCCACATGAGCGTTGAGGCCTGGACATCAAGGTGCTTGACCAGCTCTTCAGAATGGAAAGGGCAGAAGGTGGTGGGGGGCAGACAGTACTGGCTGTGTAGAGGAACAGAGTTGCCTCCTGCAGCATGCTAGGTCCAGCCTTGCTGGTGACTGGCTCAGTGTCCCTTGCTTCTGGAACTCAGATCCACTTTTGCAAGATGGCGAATATACTCATCTCCACCCTGGCTCTCCGGGGTGACCTCTCTAATGTTACATTGGAGTCTCAGAGGTTGTGGAGGTTACCAAATGGTGTTGGAAAGCTGGTTTTGTGGGGGTCCTACATGGTGGTGGTGTAGGAACTGCACCCTTAGGAGGAAATGGGAAAGCTTGAAGGGAGTTCAGACCAAGCTGTGGGGGCCTTAGGAGAGGAGGTGCCAGGGTTCACAGATGTGGAACAGTGACTGGCCTTGTTGGAGGAAAAGGTTAGAACAGTTTGTCTTCGAGGATGGTCCTTTAGGAAAAAGTTTCCCCTCCATAAGTCTTGGGCATTGGAACACTTGGACCCCTGTTGGTGGCTGTTTGGGGAGGCTTGGGCAGCATGGCCTTGTTGGAGGAAGTGTGTCACTGGGGGGTGAGTCTTGAGGTTTCATTTTGAGTACACTCTGTTTCCTGCTTGCAGTTCAAGATGTGATTTCTCATCTGTTTCATGCCGGTGCCTGTGGCCACGCTGCCCTGTCATAATGGTCCCTCTGGAACCACAAGCCCCAAAGAAACTCTTCTTTCTATAAGTTGCTTTGGTCATGATATTTTATCCTAACAACATAAAAGTAACTAAGGCATTTCTTAAAGCAATTATCTATATGAACCTTGAGTTCCTTAGCCAACAGTAATGTCAGGGTTTTTTCTCTTTTTCTTTTTTCAACAACTCATATATATAATGTGTATAGGTATTTTGCTCAAATATGTGTGTGTGTGTGTGTGTGTGTGTGTGTGTGTGCGCGCGTGCGCGTGCATCATACACATGCCTAGTGCCTGCAGAGGCCAGAAGGGTGTGTTGGATCCCCTGGAACTGGAGTTATTTGTAGTTGCAAAGTACCATTGTGTGTGTGTGTGTGCTGGGAATAGAACCTGGGTCCTCTCTGAACAGCAGCCAGTGCTCTTAACTACCAAGTTATCTCTCCAGCCACACTACCAGGATTTCTATCAGGATCTAAGAACATGAATTTGAATAGTAGTAGTAGTGACAAATAGCTCTTGCTAGTATCCTTCTTAGAAACATCTGCCCAGACTACCACCAAGCAGAGGCTGTACTGTGAGTACAGGGGCAGTGTCCAGCTGTGCCTGACAATGAAATCACTCCCCACTTTGAGTTCTGTACACGGCATTCTGGGACTTGGTTGGTCCTAGAACCCACTGTCCCCCAAATTAACTGCTTCCATCTTTCCTGTATTTGCAGGTTGCAGGATGTCCTTACCATGCCTCATGCCTCATGCCATCCCCCGCGCCCCATAGAGTTCTAAGTGAGCCTGATTTCATCTCTCTGCCACAAAACCATCCCAGGCCTTTCCCCCCATTTCCTCCCCCCCCACCCCGGCCTGTTTGACATGTGAATGCTCCGGTGGGAGAGTTGGGTGGGTAACGGTGATGGCTCATGATTCACGTATGCTGTGAATTTACCACATTCTAAAGACCCAAAGTCTCCAACCCACCTCCCGTCGCCCCACACAAGCAATCAGACAAGACACCTCAGGATATTTTTCCCAAGTGCAGAATCATGTATACTCTGAGTGACTCTGAGTGACATTCAAGTTTTGACCAGTTTCAAGATGTTGCTACCAGACAGTGAGAAGACCACATACATACACACCCCGAATCTATATTACAGAGGAAGACTTGGTGTTGGTACATGAGTCAAGGGTTTCAGGCTATACAGGATACATCTGGAAGGTTCTTTGGCTACCCCAAGGTACTCATTTCAGGTTGTGAAGTATCTCTGGCTAGAAGGCAGGCCTCTAGGAAGCTGCATTCTTCCCTTCTGGGCCGCTACTACCGTTGAGCTTGCTAATGCCAAGAATTCATAGGTTCTTCCTTTTTTTTAACTCTCTCAGAGGAGTGATGAGAAACATAAAACTACACGTAGGAGGTGTCTGTCACCACCTCCCACAAATGCATAGCTGTGCTTAGGAATTCACTTCAACCTCAGAGTGTGCCAAGAGGTAAATAAAATAGGCCGTTTCCCCTGTCTACAGAGAGGAAATACGGAGACGCAGAGCTCAGGTGGCCAGCCGTGTTGGGAGAGCCGGGACCAGACTCTGGCTCTGCTTCCCCAGGTTCTTTCCAGCAAGTGTAGGCAGCTGTGGCAAGTATGGCTGGGCCACGGAGCTGAGACTCAAGTAAACTGCCCATGGCCGGCTGTGGGATGGAAATCCCAGAGCAGGGCTAGGATCCAGATGAGAGTCAGCTCCCTCTGCCTCTAGGCAGGGTTAGTTTGGGACAATAACACCAATGACAGACATCTCTGCCAGCTGGGAAATGGGCCTCCTTTGGCAAAGGAATCTGGGAACACTCTGAGCAGCTCTGCCTGGGCCTCAGTGGACTCAGATCAACGGGAAGAGGCTTGCACTCAACAGTGGACATGCGTGAGTATGGCTGCCGAGCGCCCAACAGTCGGCTCGCTCGCATCTGACCGCTTCCAGCAGGAATGGAACCTAACTAGCCTTCTTCTAAAGCCGCCCGGAGTGGTAAGAAGACACAGGTCTCAGTCTACAAGGGGACGTGTTGTCCTTTCTTAGCTGTACAGACACATTCCTCGGGTTTCAGTTCAGTGGCAGGTACCCTGGGGGTGAGACCGCGTAGAAACTACAGCTGTCAGGTGTGACATCTCTCTATGACGTGGCGCCAACGTTTTTCAGTTGTACAACTGGTGGTTGGTGAAATCTGGTTTTCACTACAATATTTTAAAGGCCAATTTCTATTGAAATGTGTTGTGAAAACATGTTCCAGTTTTGACTTTATACACACGACACTTACGGTGGAGTAAAGACAGGAATTGTGTGCCTGCGCTTACTCTTGGATGGTACTGCCTTCAAAGCAGACACCTTAAGGAAAGTGTTGCTTATTTCGGTGTAGCAGACCCAAATCGCATTTCTAGAACCCTCTTTGGAAATTGTCAACTTATATGTTTCCTCAGAGTGGGCAAATCTTTGTTCTTATGGCTAGGTCTATAATTTTTAATAGCCAAAGAGTATTTTATCTGGCAAATACAATGGGTGGTGGACAAAGAGTCTTTTATCTGGCAAATACAATGGGTGGTGGACAAAGAGTCTTTTATCTGGCAAATACAATGGGTGGTGGAGCTTGGCACTGCCTTGGCAGGTAGCAGGAGTGGGCAGAGGGTAAAGGAAGCTAAACAGGGCCTCTTGATAAAGTTATGAGGCCTCTTTCCTTTGAT